GATTATTCAAACTGGGTCTGTATGTAAGGTTCATAATTTATCCTATCCTATACATTCAGGTCTAATGCGTAAGAATTATTTCCTAGCAGCCATCAAACATCAAATGCTCAAGGCCTCGACTGTTTCACTTAACGCCGTCTGGATAACTGGTTGAGGCGGCCCCGTCTTGGCGTCTTGGCATTATTGGTGAAGCGCTTGCTAAGCGCCCACCAGGACCAGGACCTCAACAATGAATGAGCGAGGACTCCAACATTGTACCTCAATTACATGTGGCTATCAAGTATATTTACCTAAATGATTATATGAACAGTCAAAATCCAAGGAATGTACTCGTCTGGCTTATCATTATACGTTATAGGGTACTGAGACCCCCCCCAATACAGGTGACCCCATGATTAAGCGATGGTACAAGGTCAACTAATCGACCAGGCGTACACGGTGATCCATGTCAAGGCATGCATAGCTTACAACGATTGTTTCACTTTTAGGCAAAGGAACGGTTACAATGGGGGTGAATTGTTGTGCCACTAGCCCTATTTTAAATGGTAAAGCACCCTGAAACCAATGGACCAAAAGTATACTATGCAGAGTACCCTGTTGTCATGTTTACCAATTTTTGTAGTATGACTACCGGGCGGTTAGAAAGAAAGTACTAGATTGGGGGCCAAAATGGAATCCTATGGGCCCCAGATGATTTTTAGTGACACGTCTGCGTATAAGTATGGGGCTTCGAGACACAAATCCAAACTCCAAAAATCTCAAGCTCGATTGAAACAAACTACCATCCTAGAAACCGGAGCTACCCTTGGAATTTCTGCGAAATCACAGAGGTAAGACTTTTCCGGTCAGGTTCATTGGAATTAACTTGAAATACTAACTTACTGGAGATCACACCCGCTATTATGAATGCCCTCAAGGACAAGATTCGGAATTTGATCAATGCCGCAATGGCCAGCAAGTCTGGGCCAAAACGCATCCTTGCATTTGATCCCAATGCACCAGGCCGTCGTCTTTT